AGCACTCAGCCATTTTAAAAGCTTAAAAAGTTCCTAACTCTTCACATCAAGAAAAGAAAGCAGGGAACAACGAAGGCATTGCAAAAGGCTGTTGGTTTTTTTTTCTTTTGATTCATTTTGTTTGTTAATTCTACTGTAACTTCAAGGAAACACAGGACACACCATTTCTGAACAGAAACCAACCAAATCAGTGCAGAGTAATTTCATCAGGCACCAGTACCAAGGAGCCCTCAGAATGCCTGTTTCTCAGACCACCACTTCCACAACTTCATTACTTGAAGAGATTTCAAAGTTTGTCACCTCCAGCAGCGTTACAGCTACTTCTGTCTCTGCTACTCAAAAGTCTATTTTGGCATCACAGCTGTAGAAGGAATAAATACAGGCTGCAAATGAAGATGAAAAGATCGATCAAAAAAAAAAAAAATCAATCCAAAAAAGATTGGCCATAGGCAAGCCCCTTGCTTCCCTGCCCTCTGTCAGTTAAGACTGATAAATGCTGCCAACATTTAAAGAATACAAACTAAACAAAAGAATATAACTGACAGAACAAAGTACTTCATATATGTAAGTACAGACACACACATATATGTGTGCATATATATTATTTTTTAACATACAGAAATAAGAAAAAGGTGTGTATATACAATAACTCCTGCATCAATCTAAGTTTGGGCTTTACACTCATAAAAGAAGCAATTCTGGATAAGTAATTTCTCACTCAGTCCATTTTAAATGGTCACAACGACATAATGTTCAGGCTCATCTAAAGGTTAAAGAACAGGAAATTAGCAGTTGCCAAAGGCCACTTAATTCTGTCTCCTAAATGCATCCAGCTTCACAACGACATAACGTTCAGGCTCATCTAAAGGTTAAAGAACAGGAAAAAGACACTAACTAATAAACCAACCTAACAAACCTTTACACTGCAGAGCTTCAAGTAAGAAATTGCAATTTTTTCCATTGAACATAAAATTTGGGAGGGTCATTCTTTCCAACTTTTAGTTCTCTGAATATCATGTAAAGAAATGAAAACGACTTTCAAAAAACTTAGGAGATGAAAGACCTCTCCAACCCAGGTTCTTTTATGCCCAGTATCAAAGGCTAAATCCAATCCTTACCAACAGATCAAAGCACCACCTACTCCACACAGCTGCTCCTTTGCACCTTCACTTATTTTACAGCCTTTATCTTTATCACTAATGCTAACAATCCCTCATCAAAACCCTTCTAAAACTTCACTTGGCTTTGTACTGATAGATCCGATTATACCTAAGTGGCTAAAATGGAACCTGGCACAGGTCCACAGTCAGCAGTTGAGTCTACAGTGGGCAGCAAATCTGATCTGAAAAGGCATCTCAGAGAGATGGAAGA